CTCTCTGGGCTGCTAGTGACTCGTCATCCTCAAGCTCAAAAGTGGCAGCCCGAGGATCCTGGTTCTCACCCTCACTCTCAGAAGTTTTGAAGTGAGTGGCATAGATGTCGGAGCTGGCCACCGGTGATGCAAGTGTAGGAGTCTTGCCTTTTCTCTTTCCTTTCCCGCCAGTTGTGGGAAGCTTGGTAGCCCTAACCTTGGATGCAGTTTCATCCTCATTAATTCTATATCCTTGGCCCTCTTACGGGGCGACATGTCTCTACTAGCCACTTTTGGTCTAGCCATATCTGCAAACACATTATAGAAAGTGAGAAACAGTTCAAGCAAATGTACAGACAGAAAATTGTATACAGACTCACCGAATCGATTGGCGAGTCACCGAATCGCATTGGCTAGCCAGATTGGGCTCACCAGATGGGAGGGACCTTTCGGTGAGCAGGGACTAGCTTGCCAAAACTTATAGTGCATTTTAGGGGATAGGGGCGCAGAAAGGGCGCTCAAGAAGGACTTTCGGCGAGTCGCCGAGTGCACTCGGCAAACTCAAGCTTCTTGCCGAAAGTTATAGAACCCAAAGTCCAAAGTTAGCATAAAATTAAAGGTGATAAGGGGGAATCGGTGAATTGCCAAGTGGTTCGGCGAGCTCGACCCAACTCGCCAATCTGCCGAACGTGCCTACTTTCAACCCCATTTTCGAAATTCAACCTCGCAGCCCCCGAAAACAAAATAAAACTATGCACCCTTAGAATTAAGCTAAGACCCATTACACCCAGGGCCCCAAGATACTAAGATTTCTCCCAGTTTGGCCAAATTTGTCCATTTGATGAATTTTTTCCTTAAGAATGACGTCAACCACTCCATCATTGGGAAATATACGTCATTTAGAAAAAATGTGGGTTACTTAGACTTCACCCGGCTAGACCTAACAATATTTTAACAGAACCGAACAATTTTAAGCACTAAAATTTTGGGAAATCAACAATAAAGTCATTATAAGCACGATATTGAAATTAAAATAGGCACACACATACACAATTATGAAATAGAGAGGCCCAACAAATAGTACTAAGATAAAAATCATTGCAAATGAGTTCAAATCACTAAATGTATGTTCGGGGATCGAAAAACCAACCTTAGAAGCTGAATAATCAAGTTGAAAAGCTAGACGACAAATAATCCAACTCCGAACACACAATCAACGACTAATATGAGATAAAAACACAAGAAACTAGGAAAATATAGTGCGGGTGTGAGTTTGGGAAGTTAAAAAGTGAGGGAATATGAAAGATTTTGAACTTTTGAACTTATGGCCTTTAAAAACCATCCAGTTCTCGCCCATACGGCACATACGTTTTACTCGCCGACCCACTCGATGACACGCCGAGTAGGCACTTACCTCACCGAGTTGTACAGAACCTCTAGTAAATGTTAGGGTCCAAACAACGGACTAAATCGTGATCGATGACCTAGTCGGCGATTCACCAATTAGCTACTGGGCTCGCCGAGTTTTACAGACTCCAATATCAAAATGTCTTGAGTCCAACGACGGTTAGAGTCGGGCTTGCCGACCTCTTCGATAAGTCACCGATTGGGCTTTTTTCTCGCCAATTTGCACATTAAACACACAATTATTTCAAAGTTAAAAAGAAAGAAACTAAATGTTGGGTTGCCTCTGAAGTAGCACCTTAGTTAACGTCGCGGCACGATGCAAGTCCACGCTCAAACCTCATTCTTGGGGTTGGCCATAGTGTCACTAGGCAACCCCGCTTGTTGTCTCGGGTTTAAATGAGACGAGATCTGACCCATCTAGGTCTCCAACTGTTTGATAGAGACAGAATATGAGGTAACCGTCTGGCTAAGGGTCGACACTTCTTCCTTCATATTTTTCAAAATTTTGTCAAACCCCTCGACCTTGTTGAGAATACGAGACAGCATAACCTTAGATCGGCCACCTTCTGAATACTTTGGCTTTTGACACTCGTAGGGAGGCACATACCTATCCTTCTCCCCATCCATCCAATTAGGATTTCCATCGCTCCACTCTCTTTCACGATTCTTCCCGCCTTCATCCCTGTTCCAACCTTTGTTACCACCTTGCCACGGGTAGTTTGAACGATCACCACCACCTTGGTTGGCTTGGAAATCCACCTCTTCATTGTACAAAGCCTCAAACTTGGCCTCATCAGGATTAATACACCCGACACCCACAACATTGACACTTCGAGAACCAGCTCCCATGACATTTTTGGACAAAATGTCAAGTTGTGTCATGATCTTGGCCAGCTCCCTCTCTTGGTCTTTCTCAAGCTGCTCCTTGGTCAATTTAAACGTAAGAAGGGAAACCTAATCTTAGCGGGTGTACCAAGCCCGATTAATTGTGGTCATTCCATCTAAAAGCTGGGCTGCTATACATAAGGTTGTTGCATCAAACCTCCAAGAGAAAGTTGGTCCGCTACACCCTTGTTCAACAAATCAAGACTTCAGTAAAAATATTGCAGCAAAACGTTGTCGGGCTAACCATGAGTTGGGCATTATAGAACCAACTTCTTGAATCGCAGCCAAGTCTCATGAATTAGTTCACCCTCCAAATGCTTAAAGCTCTGAATGTTGTCGCGAAGAGTCATCATCTTCGAAGGAGGGAAAAATCGCACTTGAAATGCGGTGACAAGCTCTTCCCACGAAGTGATTGATTATCGTGGCAATTCAGCCAGCCACTTACATGTTTCTCCCATTAAAGAAAATGCGATAAACCTCAACCAGATCGACTCTTGGGATATGTTCTTGAAGGAGATCGGGCAACAAACATCAACAAAGTTTCTAATATGCTCATGGGGATCCTCATGAGCCAAACCACCGAACAACCCCTTCAATTGCAAGAGCTGCAACATAGTACTTGTGATATGGAACACAACGTTCCCTTTATCCAGAGGCAAGCGAATGGCACCAATTCCACCCATAAGATGATGGTCATTAGCTTTTGGCTCATTGACATAGTTGAGGTTACCGATGTCATCTTGGTGGCCCACTTGGCTACCATTGCATTCGTTCAAACTCATACTTCTGGTTTAAAACTGCAACACACAAAACAAAACCAAAAGTAAGTAGATTCAACGAAGACTACCAAGAACAAAATTTAACTTACCTAAAAATTCTCAAACAACACCACTCCCCGGCAGCGGTGCCATTTTGATTGAATAGCGTTATCAAAAACACTTAATCCAGTTCTAAGTGTCAATGATCATTAGTCAGTATATAACCCAACTAAATGAGTTGGGGTCGAATCCCACAGGGAGAGGTATGTGTTTCAGAATCAATTGAAAAGCATGAATATGTTCTAATCAGCCATAGGAATAGACATTATCGAATAAAAACATAATTCAAATTAAGGGGTGACAAGAATGTCAAATAACATGGGGCTTTTGGTTTTAAATTATCAACTACAACAACAGCAAATAACACGGAATAACAATAATGAGATGAGTTCTTGGGATGTGATTCGATTATAGGCTAATTTAGACAAATGGTTAATTGCAATTGTTAGAAAATAGTTGTATGTTAGTGACTAAGCTAGACTATAGAGGAGATAAAATTTCTCTCGAACAATTTACCTCGAATAAAGTCAGTTTCTCTCGAACTCCAACAAGTAGAAAAATAAGAATAGTCTGCGTTTAGTCCATTAACTCTCTCGAGCTGAATGTGTGGAAAAAGGTTTAGGATTCACTCTCTCGAGATGAATCCATGACAACCCAATACTCACAAACCATCAATTCAATCATCTTGGTTTTAAAACCTCTCTCTCGAGCAAGCGAAAAATACGAAGGTAGAATTGTATTTGCAACTAGAATCCTTTAAATTAAACCACAATTACTGAATGAAATCACTTCTAAACAACATTTAAACTAACAATTAACAATACCCATAAACTAAATCAACCCATAATCACATAATCACAACCCAAGAATTGGGGTTTTAGCTAGACATCATAAAAAAGATAGAAATCGTTACCAAATTATGTTTATATCAACAAGGTAAGATCAATTTTGTCTTTACAAAGGTCCAAATTGAAGAATCTCAAAGACCCACTTCTAATTTCTCAAAAATGGAAAACTTCAATTCTTCAAAGCTAAGGAAAACTAGTTTCAATACTCAGAGTTCAAACTAACTCCAAAAATATGATAAAACTTATGATATCTAGCTCCCAATATTATTGTTTGAAAATGTATTTATAGTCGCCAAAAATATGCTATGATGGACCATTTGGTGCAGTAAGTCAGGATCGCCTATCAACTCGGCAATCCGCCCTTTGGTCAGTTCCATATCCTTTTTGCTTTGGCCTTGAGCATCCTCAAGTTCTATAACTTTGGGTGATCCAACACTGCATCGCGGAACCACTAGGAGACACGTCGACTGCTCCTTTCTCTCGCCAACTTGATTTTCTCCTTCGGAGATTGCCACACTCGAACTTTAGGCGGTCAAGTGGATACTCGACGACTCGCCAAATGGACTTGGTGATCACTAGGCTCTCTTTCCTTCCTTCTTTCAGCTCGCATTGTTCCTTTTTGCAAGTTAGTGTCCATACTTTGTTCCTCAATCCATATACCTAGAAATCAAGGATTTTACATCAGGTATTGGCACAAAATAAGCATTTGAGGACAAAAAATCTATCCAAATAAAGCCTTAAATGAGTCCAAATCTAAGACTCATCAACCACCTTCTACAAATAATAAATAATTATTGACCAAATATCCAAATATCATGATTTCTTTTCCTGAAAGAGTCACCTTTTGAAAATAATAAATAAGTATTGAACAAATATCCAAATATCATAATTTTTTTCTAAAAGAAATCATATCTTATTAATTTAATATTTATCTATCTTCAAAATTACTTTCCATCTTCTCAATTTAATATTCTATATATAGTCCTCGATATTTCAAGCCTCAATCACATTACTTCTCAACTATTATTCTTGAGTTTTCTTTACTTTTAGAGTATCCGGAAAAATGATTGATGAGAAGAAGAAAAGATCAGTATTTAGTAATGTTAGGTTACGAATTGAACCTTCTAAAAGTGAAGGTAACTGTTACATCATTTATAAACCACAAGCGGTTAGTAAAAATCCTGCACAAAAACCAGATGGTAATCGTCTTAACCATAAATACAAGGCGATGCTACATGGATGGCTAGCTAAAAAGAGACAACATGAAAATGGAGCATTTGACGTGGTAAATACAATTTTCTGAAGCGAGGCTTAAGAATTTGGGGGTTCTAAATTTTCTCTAGGACCATCAATCAATTTGTTAGGGGTTAAAAATTTATTATACATATATATTTAATAAATTTTCTAGTACAAATAGAGGATCTACCAAAAAGATATTGAGTTCGTCCGAACCCACAAACCCACGAACCCCCACGTAGCTCTGCCTCTACATGTATGGCATTTTCTTTTGTTTATATCATGCTTCCGAATTAGGATTTATTGATCATTACCAATATCGTGAATCCTCCACTTAATTATATTATCGCTTGTTTTATCTTTTCTTTTTTCCTGAAAAAAAAAGAAAGAAAAAGGAATCACATCATTTGTTTTGTGTGTGTTAGGCAATAACTAAACTTTATTTTCTTATTTCAAACTGGACTATCAAACTACAAAATACTATCACATTCAAACTTATTTGGATTTTATATTGTATAATTTTTGTTAGTTGTTTAAAACTTTATATATAACTAGTTTTTATACTAATTAAGGACCAATGAATCCAATGATATATCAAGAAAATTAGAGTTAGTAATATAATTACTTTGTAATGTGTTCAATTTAATTTGTAATTTGTAAAATCATATATATAGGTAGTTCTTAACAAAAATATTGTTGGATTGCAGTATTACTATCATATGAGAACATAATATAGTCCTACTGTGGAGGGAAGCCTACAGCAAGTGTCACTTAATTAAGGAAAAAGGATCCTAATATAAATCTACAAAACTGATTGTTACAAGAAGCGATTTACATGATGACCTCCTAACTACATGATACTAACTTTTATAGTCATGTTGAGATGCCAAAACAATTTACTTTATTCTTACTGAATTTTCTTTGTTAATCCAAAGCTTAAAGTTGTTGAAAAGTGCTCCAAAAATAGAAAAGGAGAATGTTCCATTCAAAAGAGGGAGTCTACAACAAAGAAATAGAAAAGCAGCAACTATAATAAGAACAACCTAAATTGGTGTAGGCATAGGTAATCGCGAGGTTCATGGACTCAACAAATTGTGGTGATGTTGGTGGTTGAGCTAGTAATGGTGAATTTGGTGATGTCATGGGATATGCCGAGGGTCATGGATCTGGTGCAAACAGTGGTGGAAATGAAAGGAGGGAGAGGCCTTGGTAGAGCTTGAATATCCTAACATTTGTTTTTCATGTTTTGTTAGATTTTCAAGTAAAAGTAATTGTGCCCCCGAGTGTTTGATGAATTTCTAGAAAGAATTTACTTTGTGTTTTTGAAGAATTTAGTAACTCCTTTTTCTTTATTGATGTTCAACTACGTATACATTCACTTCAATTTTCTTTTTATTTTTTATGTTTTGCAAACATTTATAGATTAATTAATTGTACTTCTAATTTACAGTCACTAACCATGCCATTACATATTACATAACCCTTATCTATTAAGATTTTTCATAGTATCTCAAATATTAATTAATACAACATTCTAAGTAATATTTTAGCATTCTCATGGCAATCAGTTAGCCTCACAAAACAAAGGCCACGAAAGAAAAGTAAGACACATTCTTCTTCAAATTTATGTTTCTTGAACTTTTCAAAAAATACTAACAAGCACATGTCAGATACTTTAAAAATAATATATTTTTGGATAACTTGATACGAATTACATAATTTTAAACTGTGCATATATACATATATATATATATATATATATATATATTAAGCTAACAACGGAAGTCATACTAATGACTAGTTCTCACTTCGATAATTTTGTGGAGCATTCGTCGCTAAAACCCTTACTATTTTTTGGTGGCTGCATGAGCCGCCAAAAAAGTCTGTCAGTTAAATTTTCATTTCTGGTTGTGGTTGTTAAAAGTGGAGCTAACTATTGAAAGACGTGTAATTGAATCTCTTTAGTTGCGATATAAAATTGAGTAAATAAGATAAAATAGTTTTGTATTTATACACATGTTTAAATTCCCTTAACATTAAGGAAACTTTTAGTGTTGTAGTACAAGTGATTTAAAAATTTCTTTATGCCTCAATTCAAATTTCAAGTGAAACATTTTTTAATCGAATTCTCTTGTTAGAATTAATAGAATTTCTAGTTTTGTCACTAATCGAAGTTATGCTATTTTTGTGTGCAGTACTGACAGTAGATACTACAAAGATTAGATGCAAGTTGATGCTAATTGTTGTTTAGGGAATTCTAGTGCAAACTTTCTCAGCAAGGAAGCTTCTCTACAATATATCCATTATTACCCAATTGACCTAAATTCAATGGTGAATTCGACCAAATTATAGGAGGTCTTGGTGGTGCCGGTGGTGGTGGTGATGGCGGCGGTGGTGGAGGTAGTGATGGGAGATTTGTTGCTGGCCTTGGATATGGCAAGGGTCATAGATCGAGTGAAAATGATGGATTTGGCCAAATTTTAGGGGGCCTAATTGGTGGCAGTGGTGGTGGAGGAGGATGTAGTTATAGTGGATCTAGTTTTGGCATTGGATATGGTGAGGTCACGGATTCTATGCAAATGGTGGTGGAGGCGGCGGTAGAGGTGGAGGTGGTGGAGGAGGAGGTAGTGATGGAGGATCTGGTTTTGGCATTGGAGATTGTGAGGGTCATGGATCGGGTGAAAACATCTGTGGTGGTGGTCAAAATGGTGGTAGTAGTTTTGGTGCTGGAGGAGTATGGGCCCATGGTGGTGGTGGCAATTGATCCCACCATTTGCTCAAATGACTATTTTTTAGGTGTGTGCTATTTCACCAATGATTCTTATTTAAGCATTTTCCTTGTGCCAACTCTTTTATTATTAGATACATTGTCATAACATTGACATGATGTAATTCTACTCATGTCTTGACCAATTCAACTATTTATAGTAATGAATAATTTTTAATACACCGATGATCAAGAACAACCATGATTAAAACGATAAAAATATAATTTCAAAATAGGGCTAGAGGGAGATTGGGGGCTATGCCTTACCTAGGCCTACAACAACAAAATGGATAGCCAATCCATTCATCAATACTAGGATGCACATACAACACAGAAGTATACAACGATCCTACTCCTAAACACTCACACATTCAATTCATTGACAAAAATATTGTCCTTTCGATATATTTGACTGACACTAGGTAAAAAATATTGTTGAAATTAAAAAGTTGTCGAAAAAAAATGCATTTTTTAAAAAACAGACTAGTTTTAATCTCCTTCAATTATTTAAAATATAATTATAAAATTTCATAGAAAGAAAAAAGAAAAGGTCACTCAAACAAGAAAAACGAAAAAAATTGTGAGGGCCTCTTGAAAACAGTGTAGCTATTTCAAATTTCTACACAGTTGCCTCATTTCACATTTGTGCACAGTTTTCTTATTTCACATTTATGCTCCCTAACTTTGGGTGTGCACGAGTAGACACTTAAACTTGTATAAAGTTGAACATGTACATACAAGAGTCCTAGGTGGCATAATATACCTAGGACACAACATAAGACACAAATTGTCATGTAGGATGCCACATAAGACGCATATGTCTATTTCTTTAACTTTATACAAGTTTAAGTGTCTACTTTTACACACCCAAATTTGAAGGACATAAATATGACATGAGGTCAAGTTAAAGGATATATTGAGAGGAAAAATCCTTCAAAAGAACTTAATTTCTTCTCATTTTGAATAATCATACAACACAAAGGTGACATTTTTATCTTTCTAATAAGAAATAAAGTTCAAAATATTGCCTAAGGAATCATCATTTTGTTGAGGCATAATACATTAATGTGCTCTTTAACATTACTTTATCTGGAAACTAAACCTTCCAACTTTGGGTGTGCACAAGTAGGTAGTTAAACTTGTATAGAGTTGAACAAGTAGATACACATGTCCTACTTGGTGTTATACATGAAAATTCACGTCCAACATTATATCCTACATGTATTATGCCACATACGATGCATGTGTCTACTTTTTCAGCTTCTTAAAAATTTAAAAGTGTCTACTTGTGCACACCAAAAGTTAGAGGGTATAGATGTAAACTAAAGCCAAGTTAAATGGCATATTTATATATTATGTCTTTTATTTATACAGGGATAAGGTACAAGTACCCCCTAGACTATGATCAAAATCCCAAAGAAAGACCTTAACTATACTAAAGTCCTATTACCCCCCTGAACGCATTTTTTTTTTGTAGTTTTGTACACCTTTTGGCTTACGTAGCATACCCCATGACTCTATGCAGTTGAGGTGTGTGGGAAATATTTGGATATCACGTAAGCCAAAAAGGTGTACAAAATTACAAAAAAAATATGGATTCGGGGGGGAAGGGGGGTAATAGGACATTAGTTTAGTTAAGGTGTGTCTCTGAGATTTCGTCATAGTCTAGGGGGGTACTTGTACCTTATCCAATTTTTTAAAAATCTTTTTATTTTGTTTCTATGATCCACCCCCCCCCCCCCCCCAAACCACCACCCTGGTAATCTTTTTTTATATTTTTTAATTCAAAATTTTGTGTTCACTCACTTTTATATATGTGAAACCGCATACTTTATCCGACTCTGCAAAATTAATGCCACATAAGTTTAGTCAAATTAGGATAATAAGAAGGGTCTCCTCGAAGATTCCATCTTCTAAAAATAATAATTAAGTATTGACCAAATAAATAGGGTTCTTATTTATTTTTTAGTGTGTGATAAGTGAAAAAAATATTATTCCAAGAATATTTATATATAATGTAGCAAAATACTATAGGCGGAAAGGGGTGGGGAGTGATGGTTCAAGGTGGGATAGTCAAGTGATGGGAATTGGGGATGTTGGGTGAGTGTGGAGAGGACAATGAATTTGAAATGTCACTTATGAAACTTACTTTCCTTACTTTTATCAGGAAAATCATTTTTAAGGAGCTTGTTTATCTAGAGAAATTAATTTTAAAAATATTTGACCAACCAAATATGGAAAAATATTTCCATTCACACCAAAACACACTTACCTTTTTAAAAAATTCTATTGTTTTTCAAAACCTTCATTTTGTTTCATGAAATTTCCTTATATATATATATATTGCCTTCAATTTTTTAAGTATGTATTGATTTTTTTGTTAATTATTATAGGGATAAGGCACAAGTAGTCCCCCTAAGCTATGACTGAAATTTCAGAGATACACCTTAACTAAACTAAGGTTATATTACCCGCCAAACTCATTTTTTATATAATTTTGTACACCTTTTGGTTTACATGGTGTGGAGTCCCAGAGTGTGCCACGTAAACCAAAAGGTGTACAAAGTTACAAAAAAATGGGTTTAGGGGGGTAATAGGACCTTAGTTTTATTAAGGTGTGTATCTGAAATTTCGGTCATAGTCTAGGGGGTACTTGTACCTTTTCCCAATTATTATATTCACCTTAACTAGTCCATATTTATGCTACATATTTTTGGGAAAACACATAGATTGCCCCCTGAACTTGTCCCGAAAAGTTAGTTACACGCTTAAACTATCACGGTGACCTAGTACACTCCTTTACTACTTTAAGTTAATTTATTATTATCCTGAGATGTGTAACACCACTCTCATATTATGTAGTGTATTACACTCACTGCCACATTAGTGCTACATTAGTTCCATGTCACACATTATAATTTTTTTGTTTTGTTTTCTTTATTAATTCACTTTTCTTTTGTTAACTATATCTTACTCTCATTAATCCTTGATTATTATTTTAATTCTCTATTAATTATATCTTCTTTATCACTGAATCCCACCTATTTCAATTCTCGTTTCATCGAAAAAATCATATATGGCCACCTTCACTATTGATTTTGTTCTTCACCACCTCTATATCACCTTCAATTCTTCTTCTTCTTCTTTGTCCCCCATAACAAAATATCACCGCCACCATTATTAATATCATTTTTTTCTTCTTAACCATCTTCAATTACCTCTTTTAATGTCACCTTCCACCCATCACCACCAAATCAATAAAGTTGCTATCACCCCCAAACCCAAAAACTAATGAACAACCAAAATTTCTTTAAACAAAGTAAGAAAAATAATAAAAAAGATAGAAACAATCAACAGAAACTTTTCTAGGTAAAATACAATTATTCACTAACAAATCTATGAGAATTAACCTAATTGCGAATCAAAAAAAATTGTGCTTTAAGATTTTGAATAAAAAATAAAGAAGAGTGATGAAAATAAAGAATTAAGAATGAAGAAGAATAAGACAATGGGGGTGGGGTGGGGGGGTGAAGAAGAAGAGGTGGGGCGGATGGGGTGGAAAAGAGGATTCTAACTTCTTCCTTTTTTTACTTTAATTTCAAACTGACGTACCTATTTTTTATTTTTGTTTTATATTTTTGCCACGTCAGTTTTAGGGGGTAAGAAAAATCACTTTTGAGTAGTATAGGTGTGTAATAGGTCATTATGATAGTTTAAGCGTGTAACTGACTTTTTGGGATAAATTCAAGGGAAAATTTATGCCTTTTCCATATTCTTCCCCATATCATTTATACAAATTGATTGTGTTTTTGGTGTAGTCAAACTTACTCTAATGATATTGTCTCTACCATTGATGTCTTAGGCTCATTATAGGGGATAGGTCGGTATTATTAGAGTTCCTTATGTAAATACAGTTTTCAGTATTTTGTTTGGTTTGGTCTTAAATTTTGAAAACCGACACTATTTGGTTTGGTTTTGGTTGTACTAAAAATACCGCAATAATAATTAAACTGAATCGAGAAATTATATATATATATATATATATATATATATATATATATATATATAATGTCTATCTAATGAGTTTTTTTTTTTTTTAATAATAAAAGCAAAAGCTAGATAACTGGGTATATTTTTAGAAAATGTCAACGAAGGTCTTCAATAATTATTAATTCATATTCAAAATGCAATTCAGTTTTAATTGTTGCATACTACTCTCCCTATTATAAAAATATGGAAAATGCAATCATCACTTGTTAGTAGCCTAGTCTGTTAATGTATTATGTGCTTTATGGTGGTCTAGACTTCCTGACAAATAGACACAACTTATAGTTCAAAGGTTCTGGAGGAGAACTTTCTAGGAGGGTTCAGAATCTGCTCACCATATGTCGTGTTCAAAATGGCCTTGGAGGTGGTTCTTTTTATCTCCCTGGTTCAACTAAGATCCATGAGCAGAGTGTCACTGACATGCAAGAGGTATGAGCATTACATTCTCTTGGCAACAATAAGTAAATGATGTTCGTTATGGCTTTCTGTAAGTTGTGGTTGTCTAAGACCTCATTTGTTTTCATTAAGTAGACGTTTGGACATGCAATTTGGGATGATGATTTCAAATTCCAAATTCTTCAAAGAGTAGGATTTGATATTCTATTTTTAAAAAAATGTAAAACTTGACCCATAAGTTTAAATTTTGTAAAACAAATGGTCCACCATTTTAAAATTTGCAAAAAAAGACTCATGCTCATCTTGAAGAGATTCTTTGTACCATGTGAAAAAAATATATTAAAGAAAAGCTAGTTGCTACTATTGTTCACTAATGAATTCTTTATGAAATTGTGTGTATTTGAAAACATGTAATATCAACTATTTATTTATAAAAGCAACATGAAGATACTTATTATCAATGCTACGCCTTAAGATATTCTGATATTTTGTTTATGAATTATGGTTTGCTATTTTGCTAAGATTGTATAAGAATTGAAGAAATTTTGATAATT